AGCCCCAGGCAGCTACGCGCCCTGCACGAGCGAGCGGAGCAGCGGAATGGAGGAGGAGCTGGCTTGGGAGACCCACGGCTGTGAGTCCCGGTGCCGAGGGCGGGTGGACATGGTGGGGGCCCGAGGCCCATAGGGGAATCCCACGTTCACAGAGGGCGGCCCAGGGAGAGGCTGGCCCTTCACATGGCCACCTCGGTCTCTGTGGGTCACCTCGGGCTTCTCTGTGACTCCGGGAGGAACGTTGCACAGGCATAGGGGACAGTGGCCTCACATCTGGGACTCAGGGTGTCCTGGGAGGGGCAAGCCAGGGGTGACAGCGATCCTTGTTAATATCTTGCTTTGTGTGCCAGGCTTTGGAGCGCAGGTCAGGCGGGTCTTCTACCTTTGCTATTATGTGGGTAGGGCCTACTGTTATCTCCATTTTTCAGATGAGAAAGCTGAGGGATAGGATGAGGTCACATGACTGTATTGTAGTAGAAATGCTGAAATCAGGCATGGGGCACAGTTCAGCAGGTAAAATGTTTGTTTAATACGTACAAGGCCTTGGATTCCATCTCTCACACCATGTAAACCAGGCACGGAGGCACAAATCTGTAATCCTAGTACTAGGGAAGTAGAGGCAGGAGGATCAGGAATTCAACATCATCTTCCATCCTTGGCTACATAGGGAGTTCAAAGCCAGCCTGGGCTACATGAGACCCCCACCGCCCATACCACCACCCTCAATGACAAAATGAAAACCTAAAGACCCCAGTTCACCCAGAATAAAATGGACTGTAGGTAGCATATCACAGGAGGAACCAGGACCTAGAAAAGAGGGGCTGTGGTTCATCTCCAACCCTGAGTGAAATAAGGAACTTCAGAACCCCTTTCAGAATGTACCCAGAGCCAGGCCCCCTAGGTGTGTGGTAGGCATACCTGTGGCCATCTGCTCTCCTGGGAGCTCTTTAGTGCTCTGCCTGGGAGAGGAGAGAAGACTGTGTCACTGTCTCCTCCGAGGCTGTCTAGGCTGAACCCTGACCACTGATCCCAGAGTGCATTCTCAAATCCCCATAGTCCTGCCCACTGGATTTCAACATGCTGAAGCCAGCTGTTACTGTCTGCCCAGATGAATGAGAAATGGGTGCTGGACTTCACTAGGCATAAGTGCTGCTTTTAAGACTTTTACTTTTTAATTAATTAATTAATTTTTGGAGACAGATTCTCTCTGTGTATTCCTGGCTGTCCTGGAGTTCATTGTGTAGACCAGGCTGTACCTTTGCCTACATTTGCCTACCACTGCCTCTGAGTGCTGGGATTAAAAGCATGTGCCTTGCTTTATTATCTTTGTGTGTGTGTGCTTGTGTGCACCTGAAGATGAAGCCAGAAGGGAGCATCAGGTTTCCAGGACCTGGAGTTATAAGCAGTTGCTAGCCACCAGATGTGAGTACTGGGAATCAAACTCAAGGGCTCTGTAAGAGCAACAGCTGCACTTAAACACTGAGCCATCTCTCCAGGTCATTTCCCCACACCCACTTTTATGACACAGGGTCTAGTGTAGCCCAGGCTGGATTTCAACTTGCTAAGCAGCTGAGGCTGCCGTGGAATGCCTGACCCCCCCTCCTTCATCTCCTAAGTACTAAAGTTACGGGTGTGTGTCACGGCACCCAGCAAAGAGCTGGTTATTTCAGAGCTATCACAGCTTTCTGCTGGGGTCAAAGGAGCATTAAGGACTCTCACGATCAAAGGGAGAATACTGAAGTGTTGAGGGTGTATTGAGAGATTTGGGGCCGAGAACCCAGTGCTGATAAATGCTCAGATGTCAGAGAGCCTGGTGTGCATTATTGAGACTGGAAATGTGTGGGGTGGAGTGATGGAACAGATAAGGTTTCATTCTTAACTTTGTCCCTTCCAAGTTTGCTGGCCCTGCTAAGATGCTGGCATCCGTCCCTTGATGCCCAAAGGTTCATGTGTGACGGTCAGAGGACAACTGTCAGGAGTCGACGCTCTCCTTCCACCTTGTTCTTTGTTTGTTTGTTTGTTGTTTTTTGTTTTCCACCTTGTTTTTGAGGCAGCATCTCTCTTACTGTTTCTGCCAAACTGTGGTGCATACTCCAAACTAGCTGACCTTCAAACTTCTGGGAAACTCTCCTGTTTCTGCCCCCTTTCTAATGACAAAATTACAGATACATCTGGTTCTTCACATGGGCTCCGGGAATCAAACTCATCTCAACAGGCTTGCATGGCAAACCCTTCACCTTCTGGGCCAGCTTGAGTTTTCTTTTATATTTATTTATTTGTGTGTGTGTGTGTGTGTGTGTGTGTGTGTGGTGTGGTGTGCCTGTGGTGGTCAGAAGACAACTTCCCAGAGTCAGTTCTTTCCTCTTGTTATGTGGGTCGTGGGGAGTAAGCTCTGGTTGTCAGGCTTGGTGGCAAATGTCCTTACTGATTGAGCCGTTTCACTACTCCTCCCCCTCCTCTTTTAGACTTTCTTTTTGTTTTCTTGTATGTGTGTCTGTGTGTGCATGTGTGTGTCTGTGTGCATGGGTGGGTGCCTGCAGAGGTGGAAAGAGAGCGTTGATCCCTAAAGCTAGAATGACAGACAGGCAGTTGTTAGTGGCCCAACATAGGTACTGGGAACTGAACTCAGATCCTCTGAAGGAGCAGTAAGTGCTCTTTACCTGTTGACCCATCTTTTAACCTACATATCTATCTGTCTGTCTGTCTGTCTGTCTGTCTGTCTGTCTGTCTGTCTGTGTGTGTCTGTCTGTCTGTCTGTGTGTGTGTGTGTATGTGTGTGTAGGTGTGCTTGTGCCATGGTGCTCAAGTGGATGCCAAAGAGCAACTTGCAGGAGAAAATTCTCTCCCTCCCTCCATGTAGGTCTTCGGATCAGGCTTAGCAGCAAGAACCTTTACTCTCTGACCCATCTTGCCCGTCCTGTTTTTTTTTTTCTTTTAAATTGAGTTCTAGGGATCTGAACTCTTGCCAGGTAAGCACTTTACCTAAGCCTCCTCCCCATGCCCTGGGGGTGTTTTGAGGAAGAAGAGAGAAGCCTTCAGCTGGGCAAAGTGGAATGGGCCCCAGATGTGGAGGTGGAAAGGTTTAGAATTTAGGGCGAGGAGGGAGGAGACAGAAAAACGAGGGATAGGAAGTTCTAAAAGCGGAAGACCCCACCTCTGGCCCACTAACTCCTCACTGTCTTCTACACTGGGTAGATATTAGCGAGGTGGTCACTGGCTCCACTGGGAATGAGTTCCACCCTTCCCCAAGTGCATCCCCAAGTATGTGTTCCCTTCCTCTCACCTCGAATCCCTCTTCTTCCCCAGTGCTTCCCCTGGAGAGACAGCTCCATGAGGCCTCACGCTGGAATCAGGTGGGGAGGATGAAGGAGCTGTTTGAGAAGAGGGTTAACATCAGGGCTAGAAACCACGTAAGTGCTGCCTCCAGTGGGACAAACCGCTGCCTCTGATGGGGTGTGTTTGTGTGCACTGACTTGGCGGGGAGGGGAGGCCCACGCCGTCTTCACTGGAGCTGGCCTAAGGGTCAGGATCCCAAGCCAGGCTTTGGCAAGTCCAGAGCTTAGACTTTGAGCCTGTGGGGCCCATCTGGAAGGCCCATCTAAGAAACAAAGGTGGGGAGGTGCATGTGGGCAAGATTCTGGAGACCACGAGGGACCAGACTCCAGACTCTGGGGCATGTATGTGAGGTAGCAGTTGAGTTTAGCTCTCTTATCAAGCCGTCCCCGCTTGTGTGAGAAGCTGCAGGAGGCACAGGCCTCCTGAGAGTCTAATGATCAGACAGGGAAGCAGGGTCCCCTGCTGGGGACGAGGAGAGAGGAGGAAGTGTGTCTTCTAAGTGGATGCTGAAGACAGGCCCGGGTACTATGCAGGGTGACCCCTCTCTGACTCAGAACGTCTGGCTCAGAGGAACTTCTTGGATGTTATACTAAGGCTTGATTAGCAGGCATGGGATACAGGACCCTTGATTGCAGCAGAGGGTGCCCTGTCTAGAGGGATGGGACAGGGGCATGACTTCAGTCTTCAGAATCAGCTTGGGGGTGTGTGTGAGAATAGTAACAAGAATCATAAGTGTGTCTGGCGTGTTCTGGTCTTCATAGCACTCAGCCACCAGCTTCTTAGTGGCTGACTCTCAGCCCTGGAGAGCCGAGGAGAGTGGGAAGTATTGGCCCTCTGTATAGTTCAAGGCTATAGTGGGGCAGAGGCAGGTCACTTCAGGCCACACAGCATGTGCTTGGTAACTGAAGCTTTGGTCTCAGTTCCTGAACAAGTAAGTACCTGCAGGGAAGCATGGCCTAGTAGTATGATAGTGCTTTGTCTGTTTATCCATTCGTCTGTCTGTCCGTCCGTCTGTCCGTCCGCCCATCTGCCCATCCGTCCATTCGTCCGTCCATCCATCCATCCGTCCATCCATCCATCCGTCCATCCATCCACTAATTATGTTTACATGCATACTCATTGATGTCTTTGTTCATTCATTAAGCGTGTTCTCTCATGAACACTGGTTCATTCATTCATGCACTAAGAATTTATTAAGAACGTACCCTATGCTAGTTGCTGGAAACAGAGCAGAACCCATGACAGCTCTGATCCCAGCCTTCATGGAGTCTGGTGGGGGAGCAAAGTCCACAAGCTAACTTTCTCATTCCCACGATACAGGGAGGGGACCAAGGGGCTTTCTTTCACCTGGAGGTGTCCCAGAAAGCTTCTGTGGGATGAGCCAGGCTGAGGCAAAGAGCGGTGTTTCAGGTAGAGGGGAGAGTGTGGCAGAAGCCCGAGAGGAGAGAGCTGGCGTCCAGAGATTACACTGAAGAGTAGTGTTTCCCTTGGCTGCCTCTCATGAACTGAGATGGCAAAGAGGTGGACTATTCGGAGGAGGCTGGTGGCCCAGTCTGCTCAGATGGACCGAGAGCCAGAAACCAGGATAAACTCCCAGGGTGGTGAAGAGCGAACCAGACAGTCAGGTCCTTTCGGCTCATTGTGAGGGAAGAACCAGACACTCGTCTCCCTTGAGGACACTGAGAGCTGTCTTAGGTCACATGTGGCTTCCCAGTAGGAAGAAAGATTTGGAGCTGGGAACCATCTGGCCCCTCTGAGAAGCAATGGGGGGGGCAGTGCCAGGCCACACAGGAGCTTGTAGGCTCAGGTTCAGGCGTTTGCCCCAAGAGCAGTGGGGAGCCACGAAGAGTTTCAGGCAGGGACAGATGGGTCCAGTCAGTGTATCTTATATTTGTTTTGACTGTACCATACCAGGGAAAACGGACCCCAAGAAGGGCTGGATTCCTCAGCCAGCTGGTCACCAGAGCCACCAACAGCCCTTCCTCCCTGCAGGCCAGCTGTCTCGGTAGGGAGGGTGCTGGGGGCCGGCCAGGCAGGGTGGAATGACAAGTTCCCTCCCCTCCTGGCAGGTGGGGAGAGTGGCCCTGCACTGGGCTGCAGGTGCTGGGCATGAGCAGGCTGTGCGGCTGCTCCTGGAACATGGGGCCGCTGTGGACGACACAGATTCGGTAAGGAGGTCTGTGTGACGCGCACCTATCTTCCTGTCCGGGAGCAAGGACATCCTCATGCTGTCTGGCCTCTGAACAAGTTGTCATTGGTGAGACTGCCACCGACATGCCGATGCTTGGGTACAGCCTGGGCCCAAGTCGGTGTTAGGAATTGGTGACACTTTGTCCCATTCCTTTTCCCTGGCGTGGGAAGAAAGTGCTCTCTATTATCAATGGCTTTCAGTTCTGGGAACATTTTCGGTCCTTCACAATGCTACGTGATGAGGGAGATTGGTAAGTCATAGAAGGAATAGTCACGTGGATCAATGATGGCCCACCTAGGAAAGGGGCCAAGAAGAGGGTCTCGTGTGATAGACCGTGGGACTCTGCCCTGGTGAAACTGTGTCCTGGGGCAGATTGGGCAGATCAGTAGATGGCGCTCTACTTGAAGAGGAGGGAGCCCTAAGACAGGATCTGCAGAATTGCCTCCACAGGTTTAGAAGGACTGAATCTGGCAGCGCCATTTGGTATGGATATACTTAACAATGGGATACTTAGGGCTGGAGGTGTGGCTCGGCTGTGGAGTGGCTATCTAGCATGCACGAGGTCCTGGGTTTTATCCTCAGCACGGGGTGTGTGTGGGGGGGGAATAAAGAAAGAAAGAGGAAACAATAGAGAGAGGCTCTGGGGAGCCCAAGCTGGCCTCAAACTCAAGAATGACCTTGAACTTCTGTTTCTGCTGCCTCTGTACCCTGAAAGCTCTAAAGGGCTGGGACTCCAGGTGTCCAGTTTATGAGGTGCTGAGGATTACAGCCCGGACCTCACACGTGCGAGGCCAGCTCTTTACCAGCTGAGTTATACACCTAGCCCCCCAAGCTAACTTTAAATTAACTCATTAACTAAACACCTCTGGGTGTTGTGTCGCATGCCTTTAATCCTAACATTTAAGAGGCGGAAGCAGACGATCTCTGTGCATTTGAAGCCAGCCTGGTCTACCTAGCGAGTTCCAGACCAGTCAGGGCTAAATAGTGAAACCCTATTCAAACAAACAAATAAACAAACAAAGGCAGGTGAGATGACTTAGTGGGCCTGGTAACCTAAATCAATCGTTCAATCCTTGGAGGCCACGAAAAGGTGGAAGGAAAGAGCTAAGTATAAGGGTCTCTTTCAACCTACACACGCGCTCCCCTGCACGCACGTACAATAAATACGAGCTGGACATGGTGACGAGCAGCTATGATTGCAGCATTTGGGCGGCGGAGGCAGGAGGATCAGGAGTTTAAAGTCATCTTTAGCTACATAGCTTGAGGCCAGCCTGGGCTACGTGTGAACCTATCTCAAAACAACAGTAACAACAACGACAGTCAAGCAAACCTGAGATCTGTTCCCTCCAAGTGGTTTCTTTAAAATGGTCCTTCTACGGAAGTAGCAATGAGAGTAGATGACAGCTACTTTAATTTTAGGTTTCATCTAGGAAAATAAAGTTTCCAATAGTTGATCAGCCTGGATCTCTGTGAGTTCGAGGCCAGCCTGGTCTATGGAGCGAGTTCCAGGACAGCCAGAGATACACAGAGAAACCCTGTGCCAAAAAACAAAACAAAATAGCAAACCTGGGGCTGCAGAGATGGCTCGGTGGTTTAGAGGACTTGTTACTCTTGCAAAGGACCCACATGGTGGCTCACAACCATCCATAACTCCAGTTTCAGGGAAACTCATGTTCTTCCGGCCTCCTCTGGCACCAGCACACATGTGACGCACTTACACATATGTAGGCAAAACCCGCATAGATATAAAACAAAATAAATACGTCTTTTAAAAAGCCAGCAAAACTTCCTGGTTTTTAAGTGCCTACAGCTTGGGGCTCTCCGGACTGAGTGGCACCTATAAGATGAATGGTTTGGCCATGTGGCCACAGCCACTCCTCTGTCTCCTCCCTTTCTCCTCACCTCCCTGTGTCCTCTCCCCTAGTTTGGGATGAATGCACTTCTCCTGTCTGCCTGGTTTGGCCACTTGCAGATCGTGCAGATTCTCGTCAACGCTGGGGCCAAGGTCCACTGTGAGAGCAAGGTAAGATCTCAGCTGGCAGCTCCAGCCTCCCTGCCCCCTACCTCCCCAGCCCCCCACCCCCACTTCTCCACTTCCTCCCTCCATCTCCCACCTGCTTCTGCCACAGGCAGTGTGCCTGCCCCCTGGAACCTTGCAGCCCCTGCTGAGCTGAGCCCTTGGAAGCCCCTCCTAGGCTAGAGATAGGGTGGGAATATTTTCATCAGACGATTGTCTCTCATTCGGTTGTTCCATCCCTCCCTGCTTTGGGGTGGAAATTCTCCAGCTGTCTGGCCAGCTGATTTCCGTGTTTACAGTTAGGGTTGCCCAACACCCTACAGGGCAGTTGGGAAGATGTGCTGAGGCAGGAAGTCTTCCTTAGGCCTCCTGCCAGGCTCTGCCTGCTTCATCCTCAAGGTGGTGGATGGAAGGATCAGAACCCAGGGTACCAACTCTTAGACCTCGGGTGGATTACTTTATCACCCATTTGGAAATGGAGTTTGTGTGTATGTGTGTGTATGTATGGTGATGTGTGCGTATGTATGGTGTGTGTGTATGTATGGTGTGTGTGTATGTATGGTGTGTGTGTGTGTGTGTGTGTGTGTGTGTATGGTGTGTGTGTGCCTACCTACCTCAAAGTGGTAGGAAAAGCAAGTGGGTGTGATGTCCCAGGCTGGGGGGGGGGGGTGCTGGCCCCTTAGGAACCTGGCCTCCCTCAGTGCTTGATATGACTTAAGGGAGCAGGGTCCTACAAATCTGGGTGCCTGGAATTCCTCCTCTAGAATTCACATAGCCCAGGCTGTTCTTGAACTCCTTCTGTAGCAGAGAATGACCTTGATCCTCTGGCCTCCACCAACCAAGCTGGGGGATTCCAGGCACAGGTCATCACATCTTGTTTATTCTGTACTGGGATAAACCCAGGGCTTTGTGCATGCCAGGCTAGAACTACCCACTGAGCTTATCCTTAGTCAAAAGGTTCCCTTTTATGGTGTCAACCCCCCCCCCAGGATGTCCATATCCTAATCTAAGACCTGGGAACCCCCAGAATCTAACATGACAAAAGGAATTTTGCAAAAATAAGATTATAGATGTTGAAATGGGAAGATTTTATCCCCCTGGGTTATCCACATGGGCCCTTGTGATCATAGGAGTTCACACAGGAAAAGAGAGAGGCAGAAAGGGTGGACAAAGGAAGCTGAGGCTGGAGTTCGGTTCCCAGCACCCACATGGCAGTTCACAACCATCTGGAACTCCAGTAACCATAACCTAACCTTCTCCCCAAGCCTCTAGAAAAAAAGTGCCCTTGTCCATCCATTCTTTAATTTTAAAAATTAATTTTATTGTGTGTGCGTGTGTGCGTGTGTGTGTGTGTGTGTGTGTGTGTGTACAACTTGCAGGAGCTGGTTCTGTTCTTCCACTGTGTAGTACCTGGGGATCAAACTCAGATTGTCAGGTTGCAAGTGGCTCTGCCCACCGAGTCGTCTATCCAAGCCTTGGTTTAGATTTCTCATCCCTAAATGGGTTCCACTTAGATCGTCTGTTTTATGATCTTTGCAACAAAACACTCTAAAATTTAGTAACCAGTGTAACTGGACTTTAGTTAAAATAACTAGGACCTACTCTTTTTATTACCTCCTCCCCTGCCCCCTTTCATCTTTTGGTTGTTTAGACAGGGTCTTACTCTGCGGCCCAGGCTCACCTGGAACCCACTGTGTAGCCAGTGTGACCTCAATGCAATTCTCCTGCCTCAGCCTCTTAAGTGGGTTATAGGCGTCAGTCAGTGTGCCTGGGATCATTTTCTTTCTTCGGTTTGAGGAAGGGTCTCACTACATTCAAGAACAAGTCGTCCGTGTTCTTGAACTTGTTATCCTCATGCCTCAGCCTCCTCAGTGCCTTGCTGATATTGTTCATAGCTCCATGGCTGGCTAGACCATCCCTCTGGTTTTGCCCAGGCTAACCCGTGAGGGAGGTTTGGGCTGACTGGACCGTAGGGTATCTGGAGCTTCTTCAGGGAGAGTTGGGACATCTAGGATAATGTCCTCAGTTTCTCCAGTAGCTCACAGAAGCCAGCCTGGACATTCTATGTGGCTTCCTTGGGACAGCAAAATAGGCCTGGGGATGTAGCTTAGTTGGTAGAATACACAAGACCCTGGGTTTGGTCCCCAGCACTACATAACTTAAGTACAGTGGTTACTCTGGTGGTGAAGGGCAAGAAGTTCAAAGTTATTCTTGGCTGCACAGCAAATTTGAGGCTACCCTAGGCTGTTTATTGAGAGGAGTGTCTTGCTGTATTGCCCAGGCTAGCCCTTAACTCCTGGTCTCAGGTGATCCTTCCCACCAGCCTCTTGAGTAGCGAGGAGGACTATGGTCATGTGCCATACCTGGCATTTTTCTAAAGTACTTTTTAGTTGGTGAATTTCTCACTGATGAGCTTTTGGGGTTTTTTTTTTTTACGTATTTTGGATACATTCGGCATGAATTTCGAGCCCTGTTTATCGCCCTCTGATTACTTCAGCGCACTTAATCACTAGAGTTTACATACAGCGAAAGCCACAGGCCTCAAATTCAGACTCACTGAGCTCACAGCTACCAGTGTTCTGCCGATTCTTAGGCTGCATCAGTGGTTGGTGAGCACTGGAAAACAGTGTTCCAGGGGGCCCGAGAGAGGGCTCCATGGTTACCAGCTCTCTCTGACCCAAGCTCATAACTAATTGTAACTTCAGATCCAGGGGGATCTCAGCCTTTTCTGGCCTTTGAGGGGAGGAAGGGCGGAGCAGAACACACACACTTCTTAAAAAAGTCTTTACTATGTGTATAAATGTTTTGCCTGCATGAATGTATGTGTACCACATGTGTGCCTTTGAATCCCCTGGAACTGGACTTAGGCATGGCTGTGAACTCCCATGTGGGTACTGGGAACCTGGGTCCTCTGCAAGAGCAATAAGTGCTCCTAACTGCTGAGCCATCTTTCCATCTCTAAAAATATTTTTAAAAAAGAAAAACAGTGCTCCAGGGACTCCAACCTTAATGCGGCAGGGGCGGAAGTTCTGGGTCATTTGTCCTTCACAAATCTCCTTCATTTAAATATCACTCAAGGGACCTCGCTCTTCCTACCTCCCCCTCCCTCTCCAAGACCTCTTGACTCCAGATCCAACGGTGCACAGCTGGCCTTTTTCACCCTGTACACTGAGCGCTCAGTTGCTGGCTTCATTTTTTATTCATTTTTATGAATGCGTGTGTGTGTGTGTGTGTGTGTGTGTGTGTGTGTGTGTGTGTGTGTGTGAGTTTATTTGTACCACATGCATTTAGATACCCTAAGAGGCCCTGGAACTGGAGTGATAAGCCTGTGTGAGCTGTTTGATGTGAGTGCTGGGACTTGAACCCGGGTCCTCTGGAAGAGAAGCCTGCTTTTAACTACTGAGCCATCTCTCCAGCCCTGTTCTTTACACGACGGCTCTGTAGGATGTTCTTGGGACTGCAAATGCTGTGTCAGGTTACAGTTTGGAATCCAACTGTTTGGTGGCACACACCTGTAATCCCAACATTACATTCAGGAGGCAGAGGCAGGAGGATCTCTATGTGTTCGAGGTCAACCTGTCTACATAGCAAGTTCCAGGCCAACTAGAGACACTTAAATACTTTTCCTATGCTCTGACTTGCACTGAGGCAATCTGTGTGTACATGCAAACTCTGAGAGGTGAAGGCAATGGGTCCCAAACCAGAGCTGATGAGCGTGGAGCCAGGCTTTTGGCTTCTGGCATCCTGATTGGTGGCTGCCTCCCTGGGTCATGCATGGGCTCTCTTCATCATTGAGAGCATTGTTGCCATGGCAGCTGTATGCTGGGAAACAGGCAGTGTATGAAGAGGGGCCCTTCGCAGACTCCAGCCTCCCCCCTCCCCACTGGCTTGTTTCCAGGATGGTCTGACCTTACTGCACTGTGCGGCTCAGAAAGGCCACATGCCTGTGCTGGCCTTCGTCATGGAAGACCTGGAGGATGTGGCCTTGGACCATGCAGACAAGGTAAGACCCTTGCAAAGCTGTTCAACTCTCCCATTGGCTGGTATTTCACTGGGTGTACCCTGTTAGCTGGGACACTCTTTGGATGTGTCTTATTGGCTTAGGCTCTACTAGGGACACCGTACACCTGGAGTCCATTCTTGGATCAGCTAGGAAAACTATTCTACCCTGAGCGTCCCTGGAGGGGACATGACAGGTATATAGATGGGCAGGATGAAATCAGAACATGGCTGGCTCTCCCTTCCATCAAGGACTTAGACAGGTTAGAGAAAGGAGCCTGTTTTCTGTTTCCCGGAGAAGGGGGCGATTAGGGAAGGAGAGTAATTGGAAAGGGGTGGAAAGCATCCCTGAGCTTCAAAGATAGAGAAAAGTTCTGAGTGTGTGATTCCTGGCGGACTGGAATCATGAGAGGAGAAGTCCAAGGGGCATGGGGTCCCCATGGAGCTCTGTCTCAAACCTGAGGATTCTCTCTTCATATGACTGGCAGCAGGGAGCCACTGAGGGACTGTGGCAGGAGGAGGATCTCCCCTCAACAAAGGGGCTGCTGTTCAGAACCTGGGGCCCAGTGGCAGGGAGGACGGGGCATGAGAGGTGAGGAAAGCCCAGGCCCGCGGGCAGGGGCGGTGTGGGCACGGGCAGTCTGCGGAGGCTCACTGGCTCTTGCCTTCTGATCAGCTGGGAAGAACAGCATTTCACAGAGCTGCGGAGCATGGACAGCTGGATGCTCTGGACTTCCTCGTGGGCTCTGGCTGTGACCACAGTGTCAAAGACAAGGTACCGTGTGGCTGAGAGGCACACTGAACCCCTCACCAGCTGCACTCTCTGTCCTTCATGGTCCTGGCACCTCCTAGAGCCTACCTGTTCTTTTTCAGATTTTTTTTATGTGTATGAATGTTTTCCTGAATATATGTGTGCCATGTGCAGGCTTGGTGACTTCAGGGGCCAGAAAGAGGGTGTCAGATGGTTGTGAGCCACTGTGTAGGTGCTGGGAATTGAACCCAGGTCCTCTAGAAGAGCTAGTGCTCTTAACCACTGAGCCATCTCTCCAGCATCATAGAGCCTACTTCTGACTAGAGTTCTGCTTGGGGGAAAGGTTCCCAAAGGCCAGAATGTGTCGTGTGTCTGATGTTCTTCTAGTGGACACTTTGGTGCACATGGCCAGCTGGTGAGGTGTGAGATGTCCAAGATGAAATTTCTTCTCTTTTTCTCTCTTTCTCTCCACCCGACCCCTTTCTTTCTTTCTTTCTTTCTTTCTTTCTTTCTTTCTTTCTTTCTTTTCTTTTCTTTTCTTTTCTTTTCTTTCTTTCCTTTCTTTCTTTCCTTCTTTCTTTCTTTCTTTCTTTCTTTCTTTCTTTCTTTCTTTTCTACTGGTTTTTATTGAGCTATACATTTTTCTCTGCTCCCCTTCCTGCCTCTCCACTCCACCCGCTTCTTTCTTTAAGACAGTCTCATATAGTCCAGGCTGCAAGCTCAGTGTGTATCAGAAAATGATCTGGGACTGTCCTTTTGCCCCCAACTCCCAAGCACTGAGTTTCTAGGTGGCATTGCCATGCTTGATTTTAATCATCCTGGGGACTGAACCAAGAGCTTTGTGCATGCTGGGTAATCACTCTACAAACTGATGTACATTCCCAGCCCCTATTTTGTTTTTAAAATAATGCAGCTGCCTTGAATCACAAGGAGCAAGAGCATGTGCAAGACTTATGCCTTGAGAATGCCCCTGGCTGTGGCCTTTGGTGGTGACAGGCATGAAGCTCGTCAGACTTGTCCTGTAACCCCGGACATGTTGCTCTGGGCCTTAACTTCTGTATCTGTGAAATGAGGGGGACAGCTCCAGTGGGGGTTCTGTGACATACTGCAATCTGGGGACTCCGTCATCTGTCTTCTTCCTGCAGGAGGGGAACACGGCCCTGCACCTGGCTGCCAGCCGGGGCCACACAGCTGTGCTGCAGAGACTTGTGGACATTGGACTAGACCTGGAGGAGCAGAACACAGTGAGTCATCAGCTGGGGATGCAGACAGAGGAGGTGCTTGCTGGCTCTGTCTTTGGGGAACCCCCAGCCTGTGGGGCAGTGCACTTTGTCTTGGTAGAGAGCTGGGATAGGGCATGTTCTCACACTGACACGCACCAGGAGGAAGTGAGCAGCCATCCGAGGGACTTGGCTGAGCGGGGAGCCAGATAGGATTGTCAAAACATGAGCAGGCATGGTGGTGCACGCCTTTAACCCCAGTACTTGGGAGGCAGAGTCAGGTGAATCTCTGTGAGTTCGAGGCCAGCCTGGTGTACAGAGAGAGTTCTAGGACAGCCAAGGCTGCACAGAGAAACCTTGTCTCAAAAAACATATGCACACACAAAACAAACAAACCAACAAACCATGAGAAGTCGCCACTGCCCGGATGGTCGGGGCAGCTTTCTGACGCAGGAGGGACTAGATTAGTGAGGGTGAAGTGGGTCAGAGGGCAAGGAGAACATGGATAGAGGCGATGATGAGGTCAGCAGGTCATTCAGCACAGGCTCAGGTAACCAAGCCCTTGGTCCTCACTCGTAGGTGGCTGAGAGCTCAAGGGGACAGAGATAGGTGTGTGCCCTTAACTCCGGGTCTGGCTTCCGCTTCCCCACTCTCGTCCCTTTCCCTGTGTGTTTCAGGAGGGTCTGACCGCTTTGCATGCAGCCGCTGAAGCGATCCACACGGACTGTGTGAGGTTACTCCTCAGTGCCGGGAGCAACGTCAATGCCCTCACCCAGGTACCCAGCCCTCCGAGATTGGTGAATAGAGGTTTTAAAGCGGTCATCCTGGGTTCTGGTCTTGGCTTCTCCACAGCTTAGCTCTGTGGCCCAGGGCAAGTCATTGTAGTAAAGGCCACAGGCCTGGGCCAGTCACCAACGACTCCTGCCATGAGACTTAAGTGGAGTATGAATCTTGGTGCCTGTCACACGAGAGGTCCTCGGAATAGTGCCCTGATGCCTGTTTCTCTCCAGAAAAAGCTGAGCTGCCTCCACTATGCAGCCCTTGGCGGCTCTGAGGATGTGTCCTGGGCACTCATCAAGGCAGGCGGGTGCCCAAACATGGCTGACTGGGTAAGTGTTGGGCCTGGATTGAAGGGATCCCCACTGCAGTGTCCCCTGATTATATTAAACACAGAAGGGAGAACTAGGCCCTTCCTGTCCCTTGTGGTTGGGGTGGGGCAGGAACTAATAATAGTGGCATTTCATTTCTGACGCTCTGTCAGGGACAGTGTTGAAACCGAGCTTGGCCACCCTCCCACTGAACTGCCTGTGCCTGGGAATCTTTAACTTTTGCCAGTCCAGCCACTGACCACTTAATTATATTCTCTGTCTTTCTGGTGTTTGTTTGTGTGTGTGTCTGGGTGTGTGTGCGCGCGCACATGTGTGTATGTGCGTGTGTGCATGCGTGAGTGTGTGTATGTGTGCGTGTGTGTATGCATGCGTGAGTGTGTGTATGTGTGCATGTGCATGAGTGTGTGTGTGTTTGTGCATGCGTGCTTGTGTGCGTACGTGTGTAGAGGCCAGAGGTCAGCATTAGAGGTCTTCCTCAATCACTCCCCATATTATTTTTTGAGTCAGCAGGGTCCTTCTGACTGTGCCCCTATGATCACAGGTGTGCCCTGCCACACACGACTTTTTATGTGGGTGCTGGGATCTGAACTCAGGTCTTCATGCTTGCATGAAGAATACTTTACCAGCTGAGCCATCTCTCTAGCCTAGGTGTTCACCTTTTCCCTATTAGAAACCTTCAGGGGCTGTGTAATCCTGTGGTCAGGACAGATGTTGTTATCAGAAACCCCAGATCCTCCTGTCTTGGTAGTCTTCTCAGTTTTGCTAAATAAATTGGTTTGCTCTGGGGGTAGGGGTTGGGGAGAGACAGAGACAGGAAATGGAGACAGAGAGAGAGAGGCACACAGAGAGAAATAGAAATAAAGAGTGTGTGTGTGAGAGAGAGAGAAACAGAAATAGAAACAGAAACAGAAAGAAAGAAATACCGAACCTGTGTGTTGCTACGTGGTGGTGGCGCACGCCTTTAATCCCAGCTCTCAGGAGGCAGAGTCAGGTGGATCTCTGTGAGTTCGAAGCTATTAGCCTGGTCTACAGAGTGAGTTCCAGGTCAGTCAAGGCTGCACAAAGAAACTCTGTCTTTTTTTTTTTAAGATTTATTTATTATGTATACAACATTCTGCCTCCATATATGCCCGCAATCCAGAAGAGGGCGCCAGATCTCATTACAGATGGTTGTGAGTCACCATGTGGTTGCTGGGAATTGAACTCAGGACCTCTGGAAGAGCAGTCAGTGCTCTTAACCACTGAGCCATCTCTCCAGCCCGAAACCCTGTCTTGAAAAGACCAAAATAAATAAATAAATAAATAAAATAAAGGAACCTGTGTGTGCATGGGTGTGTGTGGGTGGGTGAGAGAGAGAGAGAACCTGGCCTTGAGGCCCTGGTACTATCTACCACTTGCAAACTGTTTTGACCTTACTAAACCGGCTTTCATATATATAAATTATTGTCATGATATAAAGAAGGAGATATATATTTCAAAAATATACATTTCTCTTTTAAATCTTTTATGTGTGTCATGTACATATACCCAGGCTGGCACAGCAGGGCCTCTAACCCAGCGTGAAGACTACTGCCCTCCTATGGGTCAGTTTTAGGCCTCCAGTTCCAAGCATTGTGGCTGTGCCTGCCTCACATCGCCTATATTGTTTGAGAGACTACAATGGCCAAGTTAACCCCACCCCACCTCCAATCTGCAGTCCTGGGAGGGACTTACTGGTTGATCTCCATGTCTCTCCCATAGCAGGGCACTGTTCCTATACACCTTGCTGCAAGGCACAACTTCCCTGGCCTGGTCCAGCTCCTCATAGATGCTCACAGTGATCTGGATGCCACGGACATTGTAAGTGACTGCAGAAACCACTCAGAACCAGGGGTCTCCCAGCATGGCCTAGAGTTGAGAAATTAGTTCCTCTTTTTAGCTTCCCAGCATTGTTGGCTTTTTTACATTCATGTGTTTATGTGTGCGTGTGTGCATGTGAGTCTCTGTGTGAGCATATGCTACCTATGTGTGAATGCAACCTGTGTGCAGGGGCTCTGGGAGGTGCGCGTGGGGGGGGCATCAGATCTCCTGGAGCTGGAAGTACAGGCAACTGTGTGCTATGTGATGTGGGTGCTAGGAATTCAAGTAGGATCTTCTGCAAAAACAGTGCCTGCTCTTCATATCTGTCTATCTCTATCTATCTACATATACAGTGTTCTGCCTGCATGTGTGCCTGCAGGCCAGAAGAGGGCACTAGATCTCATTACAGATGGTTGTGAGCCACCATGTGTTTGCCAGGAATTGAACTCAGGACCTCTGGAAGAGCAGCAAATGTTCTTAACCACCGCACCATCTCTCCAGTCCTTATTTATTTTATTGTAATAAAAAAAATTTTTTGAGATAGGGTCTCTGTGTAGTCCTGGCTATTCTGGAACCACTATATAGATTAGGTTGGGCTTGAACTCACAGAGATCCTGAGTACTGGGATTAAAGGCGTGCACCACTATGCATGGCTCCCATATGCTTTCTGCATGCTTCACCTCCCCCCTGTCTTCTCTCCAGAGGCAGCAGACTCCCCTCCACTTCGCTGCCGAGCATGCATGTCAGGACGTAGCTGAGATGCTCCTCATTGCTGGAGTTGACTTAAGCCTGCGAGATAAGGTACCCCTGCTCTAAGCAGCCCCTCTGTCAGGCTTCCACTGCTCCCTCGGGGTCAGAGACACTGCTACCAATTCCTCGTCCCTGCTCTCATAGTCTCAGGACCTCCTGTGTAACTCAAAAATCTATCTCCTGGACACGCCTGTCTTGGGGGCCTCAACTGTGGCCCTACGGTTTGCTCGGGCTGTGGTTGATTTCTGTTTCACCCCTCACCCACCAGAATGTTAGTTCTGTAAGTCACGTGGTGGGTGTCAGGAGTAGCAGAACCAGCCAGCATCACACTGCCTAACACCTCCCTGCTCATGCAACAGAATTCGGGGTAGCTCCCCAGCTTATTGTGACTCAAGGTGGCCCTTCCTTAGATGGCTGGAGACCATGGGGTGGGGTGAGGCTGAAGGCCAGACTTGGGTGGAACTCACGGCTTTGAGCTGAACCCAGGAAGCTGGCTGCACCTAAAGCAGCTTCCCACATCCCTGCAGACCCCTGCAGTTGTTTGGTCATATGGGAGGCCTGGAGCAACAGGTCTGGTACCTGGGGATTGGTAGACAGGTATGGCAGGATGACCCATGCCAACTCCAGGCTCTGATTTCTTCATCTGAGAAACAAGAGTGGGGACATCATGTCGTAGGTGGGGTTGAAGAGGGAATGAAGGCTGCTTGGCTTGATCGACCCTAGGCCAGTGGCTCTCAACCTGTGGGTCGCGACCCCTTTGGGGTCAGTTAGGAGATATTTATGTTATGGTTCATGACAATAACAAAATTAAACTTATGAAGTAGCAATGTATGGTTGGGGGGTCACCACAGCACGAGGAACTGTATTAAAGGGTCACAGCATTAGAAAGGCTGAGAACCACTGCTCTAAGCGTGTATATGCCTATGCTTGTGTGAGTGTATATGTCCACGGAGGCCAGAAGAGTGTGTGTGCAGATGATTGGTAATCGGAAGAGGTGGAGTTGCAGGTAGTTGTGAACCGCCCAGTGTGGGTGCCAGGATCCAAACTAGTCCTCATGATGGAATGGCAAGGGCTCTCAACCTCTGAGCCGTTTCTCCAGCCCAGCTCTGGGCACAGTTGGTCCTGATGAAACTGGAAGTGGTTGCTGGGATAATAGTAAGTTTAGAGGCTGCCCCGCACTGCCCTGCAGGAGCTCCAGCTTCCCTGCCTCTTCTTTGCAGCAAGGAAAAACAGCCCTGGCAGTGGCCGCCCGCAGCAACCACATCGGCCTGGTGGACATGATCATAAAAGCTGACCGTTTCTACAGATGGGAGAAGGTAGCTCCTCCGTTCATCTCCTGTTGGAAAGCCTTGGCTGTGTGTGGAGCCTCAACCGATTCTGGGGCCCTGTCTCTAAGTGGCTACTCATCTCTGCCTTGGGTACCACTCAGATAGTGGGGACCTGGAGATGGGCAAGCACCCAGACATGCTCAAAGGAGGCAGACTCAATTCTGTGCTAGTGAGATCCTGGCCAAGGAGTGAATTGGTTTGGATACATAAATTTTATGGGTGATAGAGAAGTGGGGTGAAAACCGGGAGGTCTCTGGCCAGAGACTTTGTGGAGGAGCTGCCATGGTAGTGCTCTTTTGACTATGGCAACGGGTTAAAAGTCAAGGAGGTGAGTTCTAGAGGGAGGAACAGTGTGGGATCCAGCGGTCAAGGCAAGACACAGACAGGGTGGCTGACGTGAAGCCTCAGGCCCATGCTGATTCGGGCTCTATCACCTGTGTTATGATATCATGTGTTATCATGTTATAACATATAACATATCATATGTTATCATGAGGCAGGCCCCAGACGGCTCCTGCACTCTTGGGATCTGCCCCCCAGGAGCACCTTTCATGCAGGGACACCAGCGACCCCACTAGGAAGACCCTGACCTTTAAACAAGACCACCGGCAGGAAACACTGCAGCTCCGCTCTGTGCTTTGGCGACTGGCCTCTCGGGGTCTGAGGCCCAATGAGTGGAAGAAACTGGCATATTCCTGGGAGTTCACGGAGGCTCACGTCTGTGCCATTGAGCAGCAGTGGACAGGTACCGCCTTACCCTGCCCTCCACCAGGGCAGCCAGGGGGTGGGGGCATGTGAGATGAGCTCTGAGTTCTGTGCTGGTGGGGACAGAAGCTCGTGCAACCCAGAGCCCACTCTACTTCCAAAGCCCTCCTGGTTTAAGCACTCCCCTGTGGGGAAAAAGAGAGGCCGCTGTTGGCAGTCTTATTTAAAATCAGTTGAGACATCTAGACCCTGGTACAAAGGCATGAAAAAGAAATAGGCAAAAAGAATATCATGTCTGGGCAATGACTCAGTGGGCGAGAGCACTCGGTGTGCAAATGTGAGGACCCGAGTTCAGATCCACAGCACTCACATAAAAGCTGGGCATGGCTCCATGACCTCAGTGCTGCGGGTGGCGGATACGCAGATAGAGAAGGATCATTAGGGCTTGTTAGCCAGCCTAGCACAGCACAGCACAGCACAGCACAGCACAGCACAGCACAGCACACTTCAGCTTCAGTGAGACCCTGATTCACGCGAGTAAGAAGAGTGACAGAGCAGGACACGCGATGCTCACCTTTGGCCTCCACATGCAAGGGCACAGGTGCACACACCATATGCACACACATTCACTCATATACATCACACACCCATGCAGCATAAACACACACACACACACACACACACACACACACAGAGAGAGAGAGAGAGAGAGAGAGAGAGAGAGAAAGAGAGAGAGAGACATAAATACTGGAAACGGAAAAGAGTAAATTTGTCATTTCAAATGCTGTGATTCCTATACATGAGGAAATCAGAAGATACAAACACTATGCATTGTCAATGAATGGGTCAAAAGTAGGTAGAGGTTAAGAGCACTGCCTGCTCTTCCGAATGTCCTGAGTTCAATTCCCAGCAACCACATGGTGGCTCACAACCATCTGTAATGAGGTCTGGTGTCCTCTTCTGGTCTTCAGGCATACACACAGACAGAATATTGTATACATAATAAATAAATATTTTTTTTAAAAAAAAAGTACATAGAATTTTTAGAGATTTCTAGAGAGCATCTAAGGCTGAAAACCATAAACCAGTGCTGGGGCACAAAGATGGCCAGCTGCCTCTCACTAGGCTGCTTTTTATGTTAGATCTAATCTGTGTGTTAGATCCAACATGTGCCCGAGGCGTAGACTGTTAGAAAGGAAGCATATAGTTGGGTAACCCAGTACCTTGAAGATATAAGCATTTTTGTAAAAAAATTTTTTTTGAAAGAGTTTCTCTGTATAACATTCCTAGCTGTCCTGGAACTCGCTTTGTAGACCAAGCTGGCCTCAATTCACAGAGATCTCCCTGCCTCTGCCTCCAAGTGCAGGGTTTAAAAGCATGTGCCAACCCTGCCTGGCTAACATAAGCCATTTTTTAGAGTAGGCAGGTAGATGCCTCAGAGAAAACCTGAGGCTGTGGAAGTTCTTTGACCTGAGACACCAATCACCCACCCACCCAATCGGAGAAGCTGTGTGTACTGTGACCCTGACCTCCAACCCAGGCTGCCGATAGCAGAGAAAGGCCTCTCTCCTGCTAGGTGCATTTAGGATGCAGTAACGGGCAGCATGTTCATGCTCTGGGAAGGTGCCATGGTGGCCTCTGCTTTCATCATCTGCAGGAACCAGGAGCTACCAGGAGCATGGTCACCGGATGCTCCTCATCTGGCTACATGGTGTGGCCACAGCTGGAAAGAACCCCAGCAAAGAACTGTTTGAGGGCCTTGTGGCCATCGGCAGGAGAGACCTGGCTGGTAAGTGAGCCCTGGCTGGACTGCTTGGGCCCTTGAAGGACCGCTCAGGCCAGACCTCTGTGTGACTGGTTTGGGGCAAACTAAGGCCTCCTTACCCATCGTGTCTTTGAGTAATATCGCCAGTGAACCCCGTGCCCTTCACAACCACCAAAATCACCAATGACACTATAATCTTTGCCTCCCCAACTGTCTCTGCCTTCTAGTTTGGAATAAGGCCGGAAACAGCCTTGGGACTTCTTTTTCCATTAGGAGAGATGAGCCACAGACTGGCTTAAACATTGAGTTGAGCTTTCTGAGACCAGCATAAGGTACTTAACCATGCCACTCCCAAAAAACTTAATTTGAGATTCCCATGGTGACTTGGAACTTTCAAACAAGCAGGACCAAAAGCTGTGGAACTAATCCCTCCTTCAAGCCAAGCTGGCTGATGAAAAAGCCTTACGCAATGGAGTGTCCATCAACATGGGCAGCATGGGGCAGCCGCAGTATGGGCTAGTAGGCAGTTACTGGCAGCCACGAAGGCTGCCTTAGCTATGAAGCAACAGGAAAAATAGCTCTTGCATGGTGGCTGTTCCCACACCACCTCTAGGCCCTGTGAGGGAGTGCAGGCATTTCAGGGTGGAGGGATTAGGGAATAGCTTTTTGTTTTGTTTTGTTTTCCAAGAACTTTTTTTTTTTTTTTTTTTTGAGACTTGGTCTCATGTAGCGCAAGTTGGCCTCAAACTCAATCTGTAGCTCAGAATGACTTTTAACTTGTGATCCTCCTGCCTCTGCCTCACAAGGTCTGGCATTAGAGGTGAGTGACAGACAGCACACCCCATTTTATATGTTACTGGGGGAAAGATCTCGGGGTTTGGTGTGTGCCAGGCAAGTATTTCACCAGCTGAGCTCTATCCTCAACCTCATTTTCCAAAATACTCTTTAAACAACCACCACAACCAAAACATCGGGGTTTTAATTCCTGCACTCAGGAGGCAGAGGCAGGAGGCACACTACTGGTTCCAGGCTAGTCTGCTCTACATAGCAAACTTTAGGTCAGCTAAGGTTTTGTAGTGAGACCCTGTCTCCAAGTAATCCAAATGTTAGTGCTTGGAAAAAAATTCAGGCTTGTAAAATTACTTTATTATTGCCCTGAGGTACTTACATAAATAATAAAATAAGATGTTACCTTTTTGTTGTTTTTTTTGTTTTTGTTTTTGTTTTTTGAGACAGGATTTTTCTGTGTAGCAGTCCTGGCTGCTCTAGATCTAACTTTGTAGAGCAGGCTGGCCTTTGTAGATTCGGCTGCCTCTGCCTCTCGAGTGCTAGGATTAAAGGCATGCACTACCACTGCCCAATTCAGTTTTTTATTGTTATTTTTGTTGTTGTTGTTTTGGGGTTCTTTGCTTTTTTGATCCAGAGTCTCGTTATGTAGTCTTGTCTGGCCTGGAATTTGTTCTGTTGACCAAGCTGGCCTTAAATTCACAGAGATCCCCCTGCCTCTCCCTCCCAGTGCTGGGATTAAAGGCTTGTACACCACATCTGCCCCCCAAATATTCTTTTTTAAATGTTTGTATATTTATTTTATCCGTGTCTGAGTGTTTTGCTTGCATGTGTATCAGAAGATGTTGGATCACCGGGAAGGGGCAGTTATGAGCCACCATGCAGGGGCTGGGAACAGAACTCCAGTCCTCTGGAAGAGCAACAGGTGCTCTTAAGCACTGAGCCATCTCTCCAGCCCTCCCAAGTATTCTTTTTTTTTTTCCTCCCAAGTATTCTTAAGAACGGCAGCTGTGTCTTCCCTAGCACAAAACCCCACAGGGAATTAGGACACAAACTAACCCTGGCATGCAGAGCTGATGCATCTCAAGCAACAGGACTCTTGTGTTCCACAGAATGCACCAGGAAGATGGCAAACGGAGAGCCCAGGGCCCCCAGGAGGTGCACAGCCATGTGAGCTGTGGGAACGGCGCAGAACCACGGTATGGAAGAGGATCTCCATAAGGGCTTGTGGAACAGTGCCTGCACACAGACCCCCCAGCTGCAGCTACTGGGCTGTAGACACCCCGCCCCCGTGAGGAAACGCTCATACTTTTTGGAGGATGGGGGATGTGTCTATTCTAGGTTCTCTGGGTCACCCTATCTCAGGAGTGGGGCCCTTGAAGCTCTCAGCTCACTTTGTTGTGTTTGTGAGGGCGCATATGTTGTACATGTGTGGAGGCCGGAGGACACTTGGCGGGTATGCCTCCCCAGGCACTGGCCATCTCATGTTTTTTTGTTTTGAGACAGGGTCTCTCTCTCTCTCTCTCTCTCTCTCTCTCTCTCTCTCTCTCTCTCT